GCGAAACAAGTGAGACTCGGTTTTCAACTTTGCACTCCAGGTTGCAACCAAAATCCTTACCTTCAGGAGTCATGTCTTCCGGTCAAGCATGGTGGCAAATGGAACCCCTCCGGCCGGCAAGTTGCTTCGCAGTTTCGCAAGTCCAGGCATGGTCGCGGCTCAACACCACATCGAGCATTTGACCATTTTTCTATCTATAAAGTGACATTTCTACAAGATGCGGACATGTATGAATGACGTCTAAAAAACAATTTAGAACCAGGTAGCGAAGCAACATGAATGCGCTGAACATTCGCCGGCTCCCAGACCTCCAGTCGAATTGGAAAAGCAAGTTGGCACATCCTTCTCTTAGGCGTCAACATAGTGGGACACCTCCACAATGGCCAGAAACAGGCACGTGTTTTGCTGTCTTTCTTTCCCTTCTATGTTCTTTCCAAATTTTTGGGGGGAGGGTATTTGTTTCCATTTGTTCATTTTTTGGGGAGGGTATGTTTGATTGTTTTTTTGTTTTTTTTGGGGGGGGGGTGGGAATTGGGTGCGAGTTGCGAGTTGCGCGTTGCCACCGCGGCCCAAGGTCGCCCCCATAGCGCCTGCATGAGCAGCGCCACGAAGTCCATGTAGTCCGAGGCCACGAAGATCTCCGAGGGCATCGATCGATCCGAAGACAAATCGAAGCGTCTCTGGTGGCCCCCTGCGGAATAGAAACACACCACCCGAATTTTTCGGGGTCAACCAACTAAAACAAGGGTTGACCTCATTGGGGAAAAAAACCACGAGCGAACATTCGCATGGACCTCATGAAACAAAAAAACAACGCCCGAAGGGTCCCCAACCAAAAAAAATGCAGCTCATGGCTTCATTAAGGTGACATCCTGACTTTCTGATCCTCTGAAATGGTGGTTCAGAGGGAAACACCGGGACCCAAACGTAATGTTGAGAACGGGTCCCTCAAAATGCAGCTAGTTTCAAGGATCCGGTTCTGACTTGGACGGCCGACCGACCGCACTTTGGGCAACCCCTGGAGGCGTTTTGACCAAGATGAAACCGGGCTCCCAACCATGCATCTCAATTACATGTTTGATCCCGTAAAAACAAAGAGACAAAATACATGTTTTTTGTTTTTTTAAAGTGCAGCCGGAGCATTAGTTGTAGACGTGCTTAAAAACGAAAAAATAAAGTCTCGAAAGCATCGCAAGGAAAGCTCTGCTGGGGCTGAGCACCAACACCAGACCGCCCACTAGGGCACCGTAGAACTGCGCGTAGACCTCATGCCGGCCGAGGAGTTGCGTTTTCCCCACAGGAAGACCTCGTTTCGGTTTGCCTAAGAGGACCAAGTGCAGGTTCAAACACGTTTCTCCCAACCCTGATTGCAAAAGGTCCCCCCACAAGGGCCAATCGTCTCTTGAAGGGGGATGGAGTCATTCCATGCGTCTTGGGTCCTTTTCTATAAACCATGAAACTGCAATCTCTGATCACATGATCCTTCTAAGCAAAAGAGATAGCCTCTGTCCAACAATCAAAGCCGGCAATCGGGATGGAAGACACAGACGTCAAAGGAAGGGCAGCTGTCCACTTCCATCGAAAAGAGAACGTAAACATCATGCAGGTTTCCCTTCATAAGTCTCCCTCCAACGTTTCCCTTCACGGGTTCCGTCAACGTGTAACGAGTTTTCCGTCGCTACCACATCCTTCCACTGGCAGCTTTTGGAATCTCCCCCGGCTCATTGGCTCCGATCACCAACTGGAGGCTTCCCGTCAACGTCTCCCTGAAAAAGTTTTCCCTTCCTGGAGGTTCTCCCTCCAAACTCGGTCGGTTGCTCACTCTGCTCCCCTACAAGTGACTCACTTGTGGCTTAATGGCAAACCCCATGCCATTTGTTTTCTGGCAAAAAGTTAAACAGTCCTAACAACCCTTGGCAAAATGCAACCAAGAAAAGAAGAAAAGGTCTCCCAAACTAGCGGCCCTCACCTCGATCCACGAATCCGCGAATCCGCTCTGTGGCACCGGCCCGCGACAGTTCCTGCCGCACCGCCTCCCAGCCTGGCACCAGTGAAGGAACGCGGAGGAAAAAAAGAAGAAGAGCAAATCCACCTTAGCATTTGACCCCGAAGTAAAAAAAAAACACAAGATCCGTCTTTGATTTTGGTCTCTTTGATTCTGGTCCATGTTTACTGAAGCTTTAGGGAACTAATTTCAAGTGAGATTTCAGCATATGTGTCCGAGCCTTCAAGCGATCGAGCCATCTGTTGGCTTTGAAGTCAAGGTCTTTGGAATATTGTCTCTGAATTTACTTCGCACTCGACCAACAGATTGACACAGAAGGAATCCACAGGCGATGGATTTGACCATCTCCGTGGTTTGGAATCCACCAGAAAGGTCTGGGACCAGCAACTTGTGGATGCGTGCCAAACACATGCCAACTCCGTCATCCATGTGACAGAAAGTGTTACGTGACCTAGGCGCCTCTCCCAAAAAAAAACTGCATGCAACTTCATACGTGACTGAAGCAAAAAACTAGCCAGCGCAATCTGCCTACCCTTCCCCGAACCTACCTGCAACCTGACTGGGGGTCGTAGACCATTCTCCTCAAGGGACGTTATGCTGCCTTCCGTGTGTGTCCCGGTGGATCCGTTTACCTGGTATAGTAGGTAACCAAGGGAACACCAAATACATAAATAAATATATTATATATACATATATATACACGCATATGTATATATACACATATATATATATAACAGGGACCATAGCTGGTTATCTGCTATATGGGTAACTGGGATCCACTGGGATAGGGTTGGACAGTTTCGGATTGCTTCATTGTCTAGGTCCTCCAGTAGAGAGGCTATAAGGGTATCCTTTTTTTCTGTAGTCTATTTTAGTAGGGGAACCCTCCCCAAAAACAAAATAAACTGCTGGGAAACCTAGCGGTTGTTAGCTGTGTGTTGAGCTGTTTGCTTTCTTCCGCTCATTTTTCGCAGGCTGGGATCTATTGGGTGAGCGTCCGAATGGAAGTTACTTCAAGCAACAACCACCCTGCAGGCCTTCCGAGAACATGTGCTGGTTCTGATGCCTGACACGTAATTGCACTCGCGACTCCGAATCCAGCTGAGAAACAGGGATCCTTACATTATACACCTGAACATTGCCTTGTAAATGGTGGTGTCCAACTTTACTTTGGTGTTGAAAAAGCAACATGTCTCAAATGATTGCAAAAGGTACCTTTTAAGGAGCCCTGAAAAAGGTGGCCCCTACGCTGAACTGCAGAAGTTTGGATCTTTGCCACAGTGAACTCCACTGATTCTCAAACTCAACGCAAACGGTTCCGATGACCGGAAACCTTTCGTGTTGGGTGAACTTGGTTGCAAGCCAAATCCCTCTGTGTCATGATTTGCCTCAGACTTCATGAAAACAGACTTCATGAATAAACAAACCGATACCATCAAATAACATGAAACATGCTGCCGTCAAGTCCTGATGAATAGCAATAAACATTCGGTCTGCATGAATCGTACAAATGGTGATTGTGACAAACGCCAGAAAAATGATATGTCTGATCCAAGTCAGCTATTACCAAATAAGTAGCTGTTCGCATCTCCTGATGTCTCTCAGCTGCGGGCGCGCAAATAAGAAGCCGTTCGCATCTCCTGATGTCTCTCTGCGGAAAAAAAGGCGCGCCTCCATATCAGGAGGAGGTATCGAACCTGCCGAAATCGCCGAAAAATCGGAGCTGGGCATGGGGTTTTTCACCACCCCCGTAACCACCCAAGACCCGATGGCTTTTTTTAGTTGGTATGAGTTGTCGACTCTCTACAAAAACAAAACAAAACAGGTATTTACCCTGGTAAAACCCAAAGCTTTCTCAAAAATACCTTAGAAGAAGTGGGTATTTGGAGGGGGCATGGTTTAAAGAAGGGGGCGGTTCCTAACCGTGCTTGGCGCGCCCTACCCATTCCACAAATCTCAACCAACTCCCGGAGTCTGGGGAGTTGATCAAATGTATTTGCGTGATTTAGTTGGTATGTTAGCCAGCAGGCAATAGGGTGGCAGCAGCTGGTTTGGAGCAAACCTTGGCACAGCAGGGAAGCAGAAGTTACGACACAGGCAGAAGTTCAGATTCTTTTTGCAAGCTCCTCCGGAGTGGGGTTCTCAAGTGTCCCGTCAAACTGCCATTTCGTTGCCTTTTGGACGTCACTTTCTGAGAAATTGCCACGTTGCCGTGGAACCCATCAAAGGCAAGGAGCTTCCAAAGATCCAATTGTCCCGAGCTTCTTTCGGTTTCCCTTGGAGAAACTGCATGACATGGCTTGCTTTGATCACTTAAGTACATGTGTTAATATATATATATATATATATATATATACATCACTAGCATATATGTGTACATATATATATATATATGTAATCTATGTATATATATATATATATATATGTTATTATTATTATTATTATTATTAGTATTATTACTATTATTATTAGTGGATATATGTGAATTGTATAGCGTATTATACATATGATATTATACTATGGGGAACCCATGGATGACTCTGCTTTTTTTCCACCTCGGTGTTTGGCACTCCCAATGCTCCTCCACCAAGGCGAAGAGCGAAAACTTCAGCATGGACACCACCGCAAAGCTGTAGGTGTTCAAGACCTGGAACGGGTTGCGACAAGGGCAGATCCACGGAGAAACAACGAGACTCGGTTACTTTCTGCTCCCCTGCTACAAGTCACTAACTGTTAGTGGTTTAATGCGGAAATCCATGAGTTGGCAAAAAGTTGTTCAGTCCTAACATCCCTTGGCAAAAGGCAAAGGAGAACTCCACCCTCTAAGGAGCCGTAGACCTCTGTCTCCTTTTGGTCAGGGTTTATCTTCTGCCAAGGTCTCCAAGGTCTCGGCAGAAACAAAGAGACCCGAGTTCTTGGCTGCACACCTCTGTGTCCAAGGGCTTTACATTTTTTTTATATTTCGCCCTTGGAATTGGAAGGGCTTGGTGGATTT